TTTTTTGGTGATCTTCTTCAAAAACTTCTGCTAAATGGAGAGAATTTACTTCTCCGTGCTCATCTAAGTAATCTAATATTTGATCAGTTAATTGTTTTGCCATATTTAAAATGATTTCACCTACAGTGACACAACCGGCTAGCAGCCACGTGAACCATATGCGAACAATGCCTTAAATATAGTCTGATATTATAACGGATAACTTGCAAATAAATGACATCAAATTTTTATTTTTGATACTGTAATGCATTTTAAACAGTATACGTTATTCTTCCAAATTGATTTTAACAATTTGTTTAAAAATAACAAAAAAATTCACTGATAATTCGTAACTATTTCAGATGAAAAAGTTCATGACACTTCATTTACAATAAAGCAAATATATTTTCTCATTATCACAAAAAAACGTTTAATATCATTTTCTTAAGTCTTTCTATTACATCTTGCAGAACTATTAAAAGGGTACATGAGAAGACACAATTATATTAGTTTTTATACATTTTATTCACATTAAAAATACAAATTATTTGAGTGGAATAAATCTTGAAGAGTGGGTAGCACCAATACCTGGTCTACCATGTTTTACAGGTTTGTAAGTGACAGAAAATTCTCCCAAGTAGTGACCAATCATTTCTGGCTTAATTTCAACCTGATTGAATGTTTTGCCATTGTAAACACCAACAATTGAACCTACCATTTCTGGCACAATGATCATGTTACGCAAATGAGTCTTAACAATTTCAGGTTTTTCATTTGGTGGTGTTTCCTTCTTTGCCTTACGTAGTTTTTTTACAAGTGCCATAGACTTCCTCTTTAAACCATGAGAAAATCGTCTTCGTGCACGAGCATGCATCAAAACCATAAGTTGGTCACTGAAACAAATATTTGCATCTTAGAGATGATAGAAAATTTATGCAGAATGAATATTCTCCTGTCCTTTCAACTATGATAACCTATACTTATTTCATATTTCCTATAGTGTAAAATACTCACTTTGGCATATCAAGGAGTTGATCGAGATCAACTCCTCGAAAGGTGAACTTTCGAAAAGTCCTCTTCTTCTTCTGGGTTTCCTCTGCCTGAAAATCATATATAATACAATTAATTTGAGGTTATGTTGCAAATTGGAAACATTCGTTCTTCGACGTTAATATTACATCCTTTAATTAAAAACGAAATCTATAATTTGTTGTGACACATTTGTATATAACTTTTTAAACAGATGAACAAGATTTTATGCGATACATTTTATTATATACGTAATGCATACCTCGGCCATGTTTACTATTCTTAGGAGAAACGACAATAAGAAATACCACTGTTCCTTCTACATTGAAATCGATTCCGGCATTAACTAAATGTTCCTAGATGGAAAACAGACATACTCTTTCTATCATCAAAATTATTAGTTATTTAACTCGCTGCTATTTCAAAATTAACTTATTTTATTAATTTTTGTAGACGATCTAATTATATTCTATTCTATCATAATGAAAAAATCGTTATCATAAAACATCTATCAATATTTTTAAATTGAGGCATTGTCCATTTTAATCAATGTGAAACATCTCTTTTAATTAACTTGTACATATTTGTTCAGTTACAAAAATGAACGAGTTTCAATTTCAATTATTATTTAGAAATTAAATTAATTAAAAGTATCAATATGATCAAATATTCCGCGTAAAATCCATGTTATGTTTTAGTTTCTATGAAAAATGCGCAGTCAAAGAGACGCTAATTTTGACCATGCTTATTAAGCTTGCAGATGTAAAAGCACGTTGTATTTTGTCATTGGGTCGGAATATCGTTGAATAGATTTAAAAAACTTTGTATAATAGACGTCTCTACATTGTACAGATCGGTACACAGATTCTGTATAAAACGGTTTACTTGTAAAATATGAAATATATTTTAGTAACTGGCGGTGTGATCAGTGGAGTCGGCAAAGGTGTTATTGCGAGTTCCTTTGGAACAATCCTTAAACATTGCGGCATTCATGTAACATCTATCAAGATAGATCCTTACATAAATATTGATGCCGGGACTTTCTCTCCGTACGAGCATGGTATGTTACAAAAAGTATATTTTTCTCATTCTTATCTTTTAATAAAATTCAATTTTCGAAAAAATTTCTGTGAAAATCTGAAATTATATGTAGTCCTGTGGTGTCAGAAGCCATTTTACACGTTGCTACCGCGCAATTTTATGATCGTGTTATATTTCTAGACCTCTTTTAATACCAATGTAAAATTTGAAATACAATGAAGTATGTTGATCTTATTAATTTTGTCATGTTATTTTTAATTTGATGCTTCGTTGGGTTTTTGAATAATACGTATAGTATCTCGTTTTATTTATTCTTTGGATTTATGAATATGTTATAAAATCCTACAATTTACAAAAATGTATGTACTTATGTTTCAATACGAAATGAAAAGAAATATATTTATGTTTCTTCTTTTTGATTATTTTGTGCAAAAATTATATTTAATTAAACATGTGTATTTTCTAATTGAGCAGATGTGGTATTAGTTAATAATATTCCCTCTGTTTTACAATTAGAATTTATTGCAATGATATTATTTTATAATTTTATTTTTTATGAATATTTTACACTTCAAATATTAATTTCAAACATAAATTTTGGTTGCATAAAAATTTTATATGCTTTAGGAGAAGTATATGTATTAGATGATGGTGGAGAAGTAGATCTTGATTTAGGCAATTATGAACGTTTCTTGGACATTACCCTACATAAAGACAACAATATTACAACAGGAAAAATTTACCAACATGTAATTTCAAAGGAGAGACATGGTGATTACTTAGGAAAAACTGTTCAAGGTGAAAACAAAAATATCTCTAAAAGTATTAAGTATAATTTGTATTAAAAATGTCTTTTTTTCATTATACCGTAGTAGTACCACACATAACAGATGCTATTCAAGAATGGGTTGAAAGAGTGGCAAGCCAATCGGTAACAAAGGATGGTGACAAGCCAGATGTAATTTCCTGTTTATATATAGTAATAAAAAAAAAAATCTATAGGGGATATTGAAGGAATGCCATTTGTAGAAGCTTTTAGACAATTCCAATTTAGAGTTAAAAAGGAAAACTTTTGCTGTGCGCATGTTTCTTTAGTACCACAAGTATGATACTGTTTTTATTTAAGATAAGATAAGGATTTGATTTTGAATTCATGCCAAGTATGAAGCTAGTTTATTCTTAGCCTCTAGAATTATGCAACTTTTATTTGTAAGAGTGCAGCTGTGTTTATAAACATTTAAACTATAAATAAGTTTATGTAAGGAAATAGAATCAGGAAAATAGTAAGATATAAAAAATATGATTATGAAAATATGTTGGGTGTAATATATATTACTTTCAGCCAAAATCTACAGGGGAACCAAAAACAAAACCAACTCAATCTAGTGTAAGAGAACTACGGGGATTAGGTTTGTCTCCTGATCTTATAGTTTGTAGATCTGAAAAACCAATAGGTGACTCTGTAAAAGAGAAAATTTCAAATTTTTGTCACGTTGCACCTGAACAGGTGAAGTCCCTTAACTTTCTTGAAAGATTGATAAAACTGACTGAAACATAATAACAGAAATTTTTATTTGGTAGGTCATAACTGTACATGATTTATCATCTATATATCGCGTTCCGTTATTAATGGAATCTCAAGGTGTGATTGAATATTTAAACGATAGACTACAATTAAGTATCGGAATGCCACGCCCACGATATTTTATGCGAAAATGGAAAAATTTAGCAGATCGTAGTGATTATTTGCGAAAAGACGTAAATATAGCGTTAGTTGGAAAATATACAAAATTAGAAGATTCGTATGCATCAGTCACAAAAGCATTGCAACATGCTTGTCTTGAAGTTGGCTACAAACTCAATTTAAAAGTGAAGTATTAAACGTACTGTGCAAAACTTAAAACTTGGCGTGCGGGACGGCACATGAGTAAGGTTGCCATTTATAGTCACTAATCTAGAATAGAGAGCATTAAAACCCCAGACTTTTCTACCTGAAAGCCGGATACTTCTATTTTTTAAATTAATTACGATATTCCAAGATAAAAACTTCTTTCTTCCATTTGCATTTGGACTGCTTCTGATGCGTCTGATGCGAATGCAACACTTGAAAATCACTCCTAGAAAAACAGATGTATTGCTATCCTGTATATTACACAGATAATATGGATGGATATAACACGGATGATCGGTGGGGGCTAATGGTTTGGACAGTAAACGAACATCGGAAAACCCGGATCATTACAGAAAATCCAGAAAGTCCTCGGACGCCTTAAAAACTAGGACAAATCCGGGTAAACCCGGACGGGATGGCAACCCTACACATGGGCAAGATGGATATTTCGCTCGCATCTCCTGTTTTCTGTCACGCGATGCTATATACAGTAATGTCTCTATAAGTGTCAGCCAGTTTGGATTCTACAAGTGTCAGTATAGATGGTCCTACGCCTAGGTCTGCGTCAATGCTGCGCCTATGTTATCTCGCTCGCTGTCAGTCAAGCGTGTAACGCTACACCACTCGGTTTCATTTACGAGATTTCACGGCTGGACAATTCATAATAGAAAAATATTATTTCAAATTATGTCAAAAATCTCATCAATATGTTAAGAAAAATTTCGGGATAAAAAAGCGTAAAATTAAAAAAGTTGGTATTTAAATCGCTTGGTTGCGTCGACTCACGTTTCATCCTTATCTTTTATTCGCTGTCCTTGTCTATGTTCGGCAAACTGCTATGGCGGGTGCGAGGCTCAAAAACGTAGTCCCTGACTCTACGAGTGTCAGGTTTAGGTTCCTTGCGGACTGACACATGAGGAGACATTACTGTAATCCGATTCGCCGATGTATCGCGTTCGGCCAATAATGACAATACGTTTGCCCGAGTTCTATGATTGTGTTAGAGAAGGTGGGCCTATGGGGATATAACCCAATCAGACCCGCATTCCTTCCGCACGTCAACATCTCAGCTCTGTACAGTATATTATCCTAAATATTTTATTATTATAGTATTGAACATATTACACTTTATTATTATAATCATACAACCAATTTTAGTACATAGAAGCTGATAATTTACAACAAAGTACAAAAGCAACAGATCCTGTATTGTATCATGAAGCTTGGCAACAACTTTGTAAAAGCAAGTAAGTTTTTTGTTATTACTTCATAGTTTTTTATTTATTTGGAGTTTGGTAATTATTCGGAATAGGGTGTTCCTCGCCGATTTCCATGATTTTTGAGTATTATGTCAAGGACGTCATTCTAAACAACTTTTTCCTATACATGTATCGTTGCTGAGCCTCAGTTTCCGAGATATTTGTAAAAAGAAAATTGCTACTAGCCATAAAATTGCGCCTATACGTATGCGTCCGTGACAGCGTGTGCGTAAACATCCTTCGGATCCGCGGAATGTGGAAATAAAATATAAAACAATCTCTGGGCGATCGAAATTATAATGACCGAAGTTACGATGACAGTGATGTCAGCTTTTCATTGTAATTACTTAGTATTGGTCATTATGCACCAAACGGGGCCTTAACTTCAATTTTGGGTAATTATTCGGAATAGCGTGTTCCTCATCGATTTCTATGATTTTTGAGTATGTTGTCAAGGACGTCATTCTAAACAACTTTTTCCAATACATGTATCGGCTGCTGGGCAAAAACTGCTGGGCCTCAGTTTCCAAGATATTTGTAAAAAGAAAATTGCGACTATACTATAAAATGAGGCCCAGCAGCGGATGTATGTATAGGAAACAGTTATTTAGAATGACGTTCTTGACAATATACTCAAAAATCATGGAAATCGATGAGGAACACCCTATTCCGAATAATTATCCAAAATTGGAGTTAAGGCCCCGTTTTGTGTATAATGACCGATACTAAGTAATTATAATATAAGGCTGACATCACTGTCATCGTAACTTCAGCCATTGTAATTTCGATTGCCCAGATATTATTTTATATTTTATTTCCACATTCCGCAGATTCGAAGGATGTTTAGGCATACGCTGTCACGGACGCATTCGTATAACCGAAATGTTATGGTATAGTAGCAATTTTCTTTTTACAGGTATCTCGGAAACTGAGACCGAGCAGCTGATATATGTATAGGAAAAAGTTGTTTAGGTTGACTTCCTTGACAACATATTCAAAAATCATGGAAATCGGTGAGGAACATCCTATTCCGAATAAATACCTGGTGTTTTATTAATGGTATTATGTTTAGTGGTGTTATAGTACCTGGTGGATTTGGTAAACGAGGTATGCAAGGGAAGATGCAGGCATGTAAATGGTGTAGAACAAACAATAAACCATATTTGGGTATTTGTTTGGGATTACAAGTGGCGGTCATTGAATTTGCGAGAAACGTATTGGGCATAGAAAATGCGAATAGCGTGGAAATTGATCCAGACACTGATCAGCCTGTCATTATAGACATGCCTGAATATAATCCAGGTCAAATGGGTGGAACCATGAGGCTGGGAAAACGATGTACTCAATTTACAAATGAGAACTCTATCATTAGTTAGTAAAAAATTGCTTAAAAAATTTAATGTAATAAGGTTTCTTTGTTCCTATTAAACATCTAAACTATTGTTTTGTACATGCAGAACAATTATATGGTAATAAGGATTGCATAGAAGAGAGGCATAGGCATCGGTATGAAATTAATCCAAAGTATATTACTGATTTAGAAAAAGCTGGATTAAAGTTTGTAGGTAAATAAATAGTAATCTTCTAATCTATAATAGATTCATTCCCATCAAAGTGATATATGTTTTATTTTTTTTTGTCAGGTCATGATGAAGATAAGTTACGTATGGAAATAGCGGAACTAGAAGGGCACAATTATTATGTTGCTACTCAGTTTCACCCGGAATATCTGTCTAGGCCATTGAAACCTTCACCTCCGTTCTTAGGGTTAATTTTAGCTAGCGTTGGTAAATTAAAATCCTTCTTAGCTAGAGGTTGCAGACTTTCGCCTCAAGAGGTCAGCGATAATGAATCAGGTAATAAAACGCAATGAATATACAGGGTGTCCCGTAAAGAGTGTAACACCCGGAAATGGAGGGTTGCTGGGGTGACACTGACCACATTTTTCCTTGACCACAATATTGTTTGAAGCTTCGTTTTTGAATTATTAACGAAAAACACTGGCCAATCACAGCGCACGTAGAGCCCGCGCTCAGGGACGGACGAAGAGAGATTCACCCGCGCGCTATCGCGAACGACGCGTACGCATGACTTCTCGGTTATCAAACGCTGTCAAAAAAAATTTGACTTTGCACCGCTATTTTTATGCGTCTTAGAGAAATGGTTTTTTGTCGTCATTCCGACGTTTGTATAAATTTTTGAAAAAATTGCAATTAGTTGGAATCGCGAAGAAAATAGCGAAGGTCGTTTTTACAAAACGCTCTACGCGCGCTGTGATTGGCCAGTGTTTTTCGTTAATAATTCAAAAACGAAGCTTCAAACAATATTCTGGTCAAGGAAAAATGTGGTCAGTGTCACCCCAGCAACCCCCCATTTCCGGGTGTTACACTCTTTACGGGACACCCTGTATACATTTCTAATCGCCGACTTCTAATATTATAATTTTTCTGTTGTTTATCGCTTTTAATAGATTCCGATCTAATGGAACTAATGACAAAACAACAAATAATGAGCGAAGCTAGTAGGAGCGCTAGTACTACGTCCTGCACTGATTAAATTTTTACCATTTATATTAGCCATAAAAATTTTTAATGAGAAAATATTATATTGATATGTACATATGATCAAATTTTAGACAAAGACTTAGAGTACATATTGCATACTGAAAAAAGGTGTTTACAATACATAGTTTTGTACTAAAAAAATGAAACTGTATTAGATCGGAAATATTAATGTGTATAAATAAATACACAAAATTAAATTGTATTTTTAGCACAAAAAATTTGAGTTACAGATTTTGAAACTCGTTTGTTGAAGTGTTTTTATTGTTTAACATTCCTTTGATTATATCTTGTAAGTCACATACTTCGTTTTTCTTCTCCTACGTATATTTCTATGACCTCAGTTAAAAAAAGTTCTAGTAGTATTTTATTACTATGTACAATATATTTCTGTCCATTGTTACATTTTAAGTAATCCTTCGTTGACAAAATTAGAACACTTTACATTTTACGTGGAAATAAAGTTTGACAGTTTTTTCTATAACCATTGGAATCTTCATCAATTTTAACTTTTTCGTAACTTACGATTTATGGCAACTTTACGAAATTTTTATTGTTACAAACTACGTGCTTCAACTAACTGTATATTAAGGACTCATTGTTGTAAAATCATAATCACGACATTTCATCTTTATTGAGCAGCACATGCGTTCTGCTGAATACAGTATATAAAATATACGCTGGTAAATTATAGAAAAACATTTCCTTTTGTATAAAAATGATATATGTACAGTACACTCTCATTGTTACACGTATAGTATACGGCAATTATTGGTACTAGATTAAGGTTAAGTTACAGTAATGAATTCGGATTATTACAATTCACGAAAGAAATAAAATATCTGTAATACATAATAAACAAATGTAAATAAAATAAATACCAAAAAAAATTAAAATGCACTTTGGACGGTAAGCATTACAAATAATACTAAGAACACATTTTTCGCGAAAGAAAAACTAAACAGTATTTGGACATGTAACATAAAATATTTAAAAAGATTTGGAAGTTCTCATATGTACAAATAATTTTCCGTCACTTATATAAAAATAATATACCCAATAGATTTTACGAAAATGTGTTTCTAAACAGAAGTTAATAACTTTATGATTAATATTAAAACGTAAAGATATTAATATGATGAAATAAGAAAGAAACAACTAATTGTTCTTATATTTAAAAGATTAAACATAAAATAAACAAATATCTAGCCTGGTGCTATCCTGCTTATGATATTCTAAATTACAAAAGTACATAATAAATACTTACTTATGCACCCCATAATAAAATAATAACAGTCTGTAATTAGAACGATTGTTTTACTATCTTTTACTCACTAGCAATACGACGATTGACACTAAGTATTGAAAGAAATTTCCAAGTAAATCTCAGTAATACAATTATTAATGAGAATTTTCGCCTTAAAAGTTAAAACACTAATGCAAACAAAATAGTGATGCTAATTATCATATTTCTTTAATACAGTTCTTCAACTCATAGCCATTCAGTATAATCTTTATATTATCTTCTGCGATATTAATGTACTGTATACAATAAACAAGTTACTGAAAAAAACTCAGTGCTTTATCCTTTAAGGAAAATTTCACGATCTCTGTACCCGTCTGGTATTTTTCGTTACAAGAGATTCAATAAATTTGTTCATGTTAATTAGTTAAGTTTAGCAGTCTCCATAATCCTTCTTTTATACAGTTTGTCATTAAATCGAAAAAGTAGAATGGAGTTGTTACTTGTTATCTTTCTTATAAAATCTTTCGTTATGACACTTCAAAGTGCACTTATAAGCATAGTTTCTCTTTTTACCTATACATACTGTAGCGTCGATATAGCGTAATATAACCTCGTACTTAAATAAACCATTCTTTCTTCTTTTGAACTTGATGGCCAGTGGCTGAATGTACCACCGCTGAATCTGGATCCAATGCAATTTCAGCACCCTTGTCTTCCTGCGTTAAATATTCACCTTTATGTCTTGACATATATCTTCCTATAAGTACTGCCATTATTACTAACGCTATGATAATTATAGCTAATACGCTTCCCAAAATGGCGGTATTAGTTTCGTTGTAAGCAGCTCGAACTTTTTCTTCGTCCACTTGTGGTGGTGGACGAGTTTCTACGATATTTGGCGGATGTGTAATCGGTTCTACACCACAGAAATCTTCCGTGAGAGGAGTACCGACGGAACGGATGTTTCCAGGCCCGTCTTCTTGAAAGAGTAATTTGAGAGGATAAATATCGTCGAACTCTACTCTAGATATACAACCGACAAAGCCTTCTGTCATGGATTCGTTTTTTCCAATGTACATGTATTGAATATTGTTGAACTGTGCATCAGCGGAAGTCTTGATATTGAAATTAACTTCTTTCGGTTCATAATTATCAACTTGTAGCACAAGCGTCGCTCCCGAATTTTTCCTGCCCACTCTGACATCGTGATATTGTCCCAAACCGAAATGCTTGTTCGGGAAGATAACCTCTTGTCGCTCAAATCCAAAATCAAAAACAACACGCAAGTGGCCGCTGTTTGAGACCATAATCGTCATATATTCTCCAGAGATATTCGAGAATAGACCAAGTAAGAATCCTTTAGGATTCGACGTTATAAAACCAACCCTGATTTTTTCAGAAATTGTTGAACGCCAGCTGCCCATGAAATCGTACTTTATTATCGAACTTGAACGCATATTTACACCAATTTCTGTAACATAACAGATTTGAAGTTCATTAAATATAATTCTTTCCAGCTTCAAAATGTAGACAAATTTTTTGCTTAAGAGAAAACAACAATAAACAAACGTACCATCTGCACAAATGGGACCCTTAAACGCAGTCCAACGACAGTCACAAGAGTACCCATCGTATCTTTCATGACAAGTGCCATTATTGAGACATGGGTTGCTCTCACATTTACCTGTACAACCTTCAGAAATTCCGTATAAATTCTGGCGAGTGTGTCTTCTCAGATCTTGTAGCTGACCATTTAGAAGAAGCGCTCTAATACATCCTACGTAACCATCTCTATAATCTGTCGTGGCACCAATGACGAGATCTGACGTGAGATGAAGCGCTCGTACAGGTCCTGGAGGTTCTCTCACTTCGTTCTTCAACGCTCCATCGACTACGATTCTAGCCTCCTTACGATTTCTCTCGACCGAAACCGAGTGCCATCTGTTATCAGTCAATCTATACGAGGTTTGCACACTAACAGTGAGAGGACCGCTACCTGCTAAGTACTGGAATTGAATCTGATTTCCGCTGTTTATAGAAATCTTTATATAATCCGTAGGCCCTTTGCTGTGAATTATGACAGCGTTTTCGATAGTCGTTTTAAACTCAAAATAGATATCACCACTGTGACCGATATCAAAGGTTGGTAGATTGATGGTAGCATCAACGATGCGGAATGTTACTACGTTCTTGAATAAATCTACAATAAAACAAGACCTTCTTTATTATCTTACACCGGGATAGGACGACATACTTTAAGTACAAAGATGTAGTAAAAATACGTATAGGTAACTACAAGAATCAATACAAATGTGAATGGGAATCAGAGGTTAAAAAATCTAATCACTATAGTATTACAATAGCTAAAGTGGTTACCAAAACAATGTAATACTTATGACTACGTGAAATAACATCGTATCTTACCTGACCTTACCTTGGTAGTCAACCAAGGTAATTCAGAACCTTACAAACAATTTAAAGTAAATTAAATTTCCTCGTTCACATGCATAGAATCATGTAAATGTTCTGAGCTTACCATCACCCTCGCAAATAAGAGGTCCAAGCGTGTAATGACCCTCCTTATTATCCACCGGTGTACCAGTATCTCCAAACCGCAGTTGTTTAACAGGAAGGTACTCCTTTTCGGTGATATCGCCACTATCTTCGGATAAACCGTCTAGATCAGCGTCGCAATTGCACCATTTCGTAGGATCCTCGCAATTTCCTAGTATACCACACTCGCATTTACGCGAGCCAGGTAATGCCCCACCCCAGTAGTCCATTTTCTGATTATGTCTGCTGACCCACCACGAGTTTGGCCGGAAATATTCCCCTTGTGGTACTGAAGTTATAAAAATATCATTAGCTTCAATTCCAGACGAAGATCATTCACATTTAGGTTAGTTCCATTAACAAATAATTACCCGGTGAATTGAATAACTTAGAATTAAAACACGCGTAACTAATTCTCTGTCTACAATCTGTGGATCTATTAAGAAGAGCTTCGATCTGATCCATGTCTGCGTCGTAAATAATGTCTTGTACGAAACTGCCCGGTTCTTGGAACCCGTCCACAGGTGTCATACGCTCATTATTGTGCCTTACAATCGTCCTCACGCGTCCATCCGCGTAAAATTCGCAGACTACTGGAAATGGATTCAAAGGACCACTTCCATCGACGTCTATCTTGATATCAGCACGTTGATTGACTGAATTTATGTTTTTGTAGGCTTCGCACGATAGAGGATTTAAGGAAGTGTGACACATTGCTCCCGTGTATCCCGTATTGGCACAATCGCAGAAGAATTCATCAGAATTTTGACGACATACACCAGAGTGTTTGCACGGATTCGGGTTGCAACGATCCATCATCTGACATGTGTCGAACACGATTTCATTTTTGCAACAGTATTCCTCTTCTTTCCAGTCAGTTGGCAGTTTGTAATTACCATCAATACTGATCATTCGCATGCAACCAACGAAACCGCGGTTGCTCTCTATTCCCGTCATACCACCAATCATATATACAGGTCCCGTGATCATTTCTAGCATACGTTTTGTCCTCATGGGCGTTCCATCGACGTTCAAGATAAGGCTGTTCTTCGAGATAGTTAGAATGACTTGGTGCCATTTTCCATCGTTAAACATTTCATCAAAGTTGTCCAGAATTACTTGAGGACTTCCTTTCGTTTTAATGTCAACTTTCAATTTACCATCTTCCAAGAATAACTATAAATATACACAATGTAAGAAATTATTAATATATTTAATAAAGAGTTGTCAGTGATTAGAAATAGATTTACAAACCTTTACGTAACCTGGAGATGTGAACTGATGATACAAAATAATTCCCTTATCCTCATATGTTCTAAAGGTAAGAGAAACATTCAAGGAAGGTATTCCCTCATATCCCTTGAGTCTGGCGTACGAGCCATGTGTCAAAAATGTGACAGGAATTATAGGTGGTTCTGGACAACTATAAATAGTATTCACTTTGTAATATCTTAAATTTTCACCAGTGATTTCTGTGTCCTTTAAATCGTGAATAATGCTAGTTGCATTGAGGTAAAAATTCTCTATACACCCTGTAAAGTTCTGATTAACTACTAGTCCGTCTTGTTTGTTGGGTACACCACCTATGTAAAGCTGATATACATTTTTAAATTAATTAATATTGTACATTTAAAGTTGTAGTAGAGAATACTGTACATTGTCCTATTACTTACTGCTCTATTTAAATCCAGTCTATAAAACTCTCCTTTTATTCTTCCCTTAATCAATACCCTATCTACAGAGAATGAAATATTTTTTCTATTGCGCGATATTAAAACATCATGCCACATATTGTCGTCTAAAAGGCTTCCAATTGACAAACTTGTCATTATACCGGATCCAAGGTCTATATTTAAGAACATTCTATTGTCTCTTAATTGCAAAGCTATGTAGTCTCCTTGCGTCCCGCGGGAATACATTAGAATACCATCAGCGTTGTTTGTTTTAAACCGAAAGCGTATAAAATGTCTATCAGTTTCTATTGGTTCTCGTAATAAATCATATCGTAGAAGAGATGAACCATTAAAGGAAAGGACGTCAGATACTATAAAGAAGAAAGAAATTAGTTAAAAACTATCTGTACTTTGTTTCAACTTCCTTCTAAAAATATATTGTCTCTTACCATAATTACATCCATACAATTCTATTCTTAATGATATTCTATCCCGCCATCGGGTTGGATTTACTCTAATCCATTGTGCAATAATTGGTACTTCAAATTTATTAAGTTTTATGGTATCACCATCCCTATTACCCTTAAACATCTATAAAAAAAAAGGAAAAAAAAAATAAATGTCCTTTTTTATCAATTCCAGTTTTTGTTAAAATTATTGTAATTGTTTCATAAACACAAGAAAAATTTTGTACGAAATATATTACAATTCTTGCATAGTTAGTTATGTGTGTTTGTTGTAAGTACAACATTGACGCCTAAATTGTAATGCATAAAAATGAATAGGAGTAAGTTAAACATAAATCAGTAGACATTTGGCATGCTTTTATGTATAGATGTGTTAGTATAGCATTGTTAACTGTAAGTGCAAAAGCATAAGAGCAAATATATAATGTTCCATTAAGGTCCTTATACAAAGGAAAAGAAATAAGTTATAGTAATTTTTAGTGTACAGTACTTTACAAATTTGAGAGAATATATATCAAAAATTTTTGTTTAGAAGTCAAGAAAAGTACTTGTAATATCAAACTACATGCTTGAAAAGCTATTTATTTAGAAATTTAAAAAACTGTACTAGTTTAAAATAGAGACATTTTTTCCTTCATTGCTGTAACTTGGGAAAAAAAAAAAGCTTTTATTATGAGAATTAGAAAACCATTAAAGTATGAAGGCAGCATTATAGTTGCCTTTGTGCCTCCACCAGTAAAAAGAGAGTATATCTACTATATATTTCTCATTCCAATTTCATAGGTGAAGAAATGATTCTTCATATTATTTAAAAAGATAGAAATATTTCAATATATACAATATGTAAAACATTATGTTACATATCTACGAAATTGTGGTGCATATATTATATTTTGGAAAAAAGATCAAATGAAATGTACATTTTTTTTTTTATAATGATTTTTTCACAGAAAAGTTCTACGTTTCTTTATAATCAATATCTCTATTAATACCTCATCTACACCATCCTGGCTTTCATAACTGGCCCAGGCTTGCCCATCATCAGAGTATTGGACAATATACTCTGTCACATACTCGTTAGTATGAGCACGACCTCGTGTAGCAATGCTGCGTATCTCATATCTGTCCCCCAGTTCCACAGTAAGATGTTGATCATAACTGCTAAGCTCTGGTGACCACGTAGAACCTCCTGCAAAGCCCAGCCCCATGTCCATGTGTAAAAGAAAAAGAGTAGAAGCAAAGCGGATAAGTAGGAGGAAGGAAGTGTTATGAGTCATTGAAAAATTGTATAATAATGATTTTCAGTTGTTTTCATTTTAATGAATGTACGTTTCACATTTTCAATGCAGTTATGATGGTATTTGCGTAAATAATATAATTTATTTGGTTCTTTTATCCAGTGAAAAGTAAACATCAAACAATACAAATATCATCATAACTATAACGTTTTACTTTGATATTTACATGATTCAGGAACTAAATACGAAATTATAATGTGCACAATGTGTTAAAAAGATTCAGCTTGTGTGTATTTATTCCTATGAACAAAGAAGCATTCTAGAAGTGTACATTTATGCAGAAGATGCAAACAGTACCTACCTACAAATCCTTATAGTATAATGTTAGAAAGAATCATTCATTACTTTACTCATGCTAAAGTACTTAACTAGAATAGCAAAGAACTTTTAAACCTAAACTATGTCTTCTACATTATCATGTTGCAATAAGATTCTATTAGTCATTATTAGTTTACATTAGTTACTAGTTGCAATATACCTTTCCAACATATCCTCTCATGGATTATGGCTATATTAGCACACATAGTGATTGAAAAGTTGTATAGAATCTGTTTACCTTAACATTACCATCTTCTTCTTTGTAATCAACGTAGTCCAGGCCATTTGTACCATAACTGATACCATATTCCATAACATACTCATTTTGTACTGTTCGTCCCTGGGTCGCAACAGCTGTGATGTTCATTACTTGACCCAGGTCGATAACAAGGTACTGACCAAAGTCTGAGCTGCTAGCCGTCCATGCGTTTCCGCCTACGCCACAACATATACGCATGCATGCAACTCAAAATGAACTGAAGGAAGCGGATATATTTAACAAGATAGGGCTATCACGGAATTAGATACTACTGTAATCATCACGTACAAACTTAAAATAATTATAATTATGATTAAATTTATTCAATAGCTGAAAAAGAAAAATTTTCCATGAATTTTGCAATATTTTAGTTGTATCATTGAAATTTTATAAAAATAGTTGAAATAGTCTTCTTTTTTAATGGAAATAAATACACATGTGTGAAAAGAAGCTACAATGTTATTTGTTATTTCTGGAGAACTCCCTTTTCCAAGTACAAGAATGGAAAAATATAAAAGTAACAGGTTTGTGTATTGTATGTATTTAATATTATTTATAAAATTTGTTCAAATTTTATATATTAAAATTTTTATTAATCAATAAAA